TATTATATCACTTTTATTGATGATTTTTCAAGATATAATAAGGTATACTTATTAAGAAACAAAGATGAGGCTTTTGAAAAATTTCTTTTATATAAACCAAAGGTTGAGAATCAGTTAAACAAAATAATTAAAAGGGTTAGATCTGATAGAGGTGGAGAATATGTTTTGTTGAATGATTTTTATGAAAAAGAAGGAATTATACATGAAATAACACCTCCTTATTCCCTCGAGTCTAATGGTGTTGCAGAAAGAAAAAATAGAACATTAAAAGAAATGATGAATGCTTTGCTTGTGAGTTCTTCTACACCTAATAACTTGTGGGGTGAAGCTATTTTATCTGCATGTTTTTTACAAAATAGGATACCTCATAAAAAAATAAAGAAAACACCTTATGAGTTATATAAAGGGTTTACCCTAAATTTAAAATATTTGAAAGTATGGGGGTGTCTTGCAAAAGTTTTATTACCTGACCCTAAAAAGAGAAAAATTGGTTCTAAAACTTTTAATTGTATGTTTATTGGGTATGCTGAACAAAGTGCAGCATATCATTTTTTGGTTTTAAAAAGTGATATTTTAGACTAAAACACAATTGTAGAGACTAAGGATGCTGAATTTTTTGAACATATTTTTCCCTTGAAAATTAAGCATGTTTCTAAACCTGTTGAGAATTCAGAGTTTGAATAAAATTTAAATGAGAATTTAGTTTTAAGGAGAAGTAAAAGGCAAAGGAAAGAAACAAGTTTTAGAGATGATTTTTACACTTATTTAGTACAAAATAAACCGTTAAATTTTTATGAAGCTATTTCTTCTCCTGATGCCAAATTTTAGAAAGAAGCAATAGAAATAGAAATTGATTTTTTAAGAAAAAATAAAACTTGGGTTTTAGCATATTTGCCCCAAGTAGCTAAGGCTATTGGGTGTAAATGGATTTTTAAGAAAAAAATATTTTCCAGACGGTTCAATTGATAAATATAAAGCAAGGCTTGTGGCCAAGGGTTTTACTCAAAAAAAAATATAGATTATTTTGACACATTTTCTCCTGTGACTAGAATCTTTTTGATAAGAGTTCTTATTGCTTTGCTTCAATTTACAAACTTTTTGTTCACCAAATGGATGTTAAAACTGCTTTTTTAAATGGTGATTTGGAAGAAGAAATTTATATGGTACAGCCTGAGGGATGTGTGATTCCTGAGCAAGAAAATAAAGTTTGTAAACTTGTCAAGTCTTTGTATGGCTTAAAACAAGCACCTAAGCAATGGCATAAAAAAACTTGATCAAGTTTTGACAACTGGTGGATTTTCTATTGTTGAAGTAGAAAGATGTATTTATACAAAACTAGTGAATAATGATTACGTGATTATATGCTTGTATGTGGATGACATGCTAATTTTTGGCTCTAGTATGTGTGTTGTAAATGAAATAAAAAATTTTCTTTCTTCAAATTTTGACATGAAAGATATGGGTGAAGCCAAGGTAATCTTGAGTGTAAAAATTATAAGGAATGAAAATGAAATCTTGCTTTCCCAAGAACATTATGTTGAGAAAATTCTCAAAAAGTTTGGACATCTTGAAGATGCTCCTCTGAGTACTCCTTATGATTCGAGTGTGTAATTAAAAAAGCACAAGGGTGACCCAGTTACTCAATCTCAGTATGCACGAATTATTGGGAGTCTGTTGCATTTGATGAACTTTACTAGGCCTGATATAGCTTATGCTGTAGGCAGATTGAGCAGATATACCCACTGTCCAGGCAGTAAACACCGGGAGGCTCTGGTAAGAGTCTTGAGATATTTGAGAGGTACCATGAATTATGGTATATTTTATAGTGGATTTCCTACTGTATTAGAAGAATACAGTGATGCTAACTGGATTTTGAATTCAGAAGAGACAAAATCCACTAGTAGTTATATATTAACTCTTGGTGGTGGTGCAATAACCTAGAAGTCTGCAAAAAAGACAATCAACACAAAATCCTCAAGGGATTCTGAGTTTATTGCCATGGAGTTGGCTAGGACTGAGGCTGAATAGTTGAAAAACTTCTTAACGAGTATCCCAATAGGTGAAAATCCCACACCATCAGTGTTTTTACATTGTGATAGCCAATTAGCAATGGCTAAAAATAAGACCTTCAATGGCAAAAGTAGACATATTCGATTGAGACATAATATTATAAGGTAGTGCTCAAAGATGGGGTCATCACAATCAATTATGTGAGATCAAAGTTAAATTTGGCGGATCCATTAACTAAACCCCTGGGGAAGAAATTTATTATTGAAATGTCGAGGGGAATGGGACTTAAACCTATTTGAAATTAATGGTGATGGCAACCCAACTTTTGTGATTGGAGATCCCATGAAGAAGGTTCACTAGGTAAGAACAAGTCACTTGTTAGTTCTGCTAACACTGAATTTTGTCCCTTCCCATAGCTGAGAAAGTGTTAGAATGTATTGAACGGAGGCTAAGCGAAAGCTCTTAATATTTTCATAGTCCTCATGGATGGTGTATTTATTGCAGATACACTTGATGAAAACACCTATACAAATGTGGAGTGGGGCTGCTCTTATAAGATTGTGGCAAAATCTCTAGAGCACTTGTTAAAACCAGGTGTGCGCATGGTCGATAACGTGTAAAACCATCATTAATAGCAAAGACTGTGGGGGTATAATCTGATTAATAAGACCTCTAGCACACACTCAAGATCTGTTGGTTCAATAACGAAGTTATACCGATTTTTTTGTGTGCTAAGTTTTATTTGTCTAGGTTTGGTTCAAGTCGATAGACACCAAATTCGAAGTGATTATCCTCCATGTAAATAACACAGACGAACATAGATCCTTTTGACACATGTGGGGGATTGTTGTATGCGTGTCAAAAGTATGTTGTATGTCAAAGTCCTACATTGACTAAAAGAAGGAATCTTCTAGTGTATATATACTCAGGAATAAAGTGGGCTAGTAAAATGGGCTTGGAGGAGAAGTGGCCTCGCGCACATGAGACAGGCCAACTCAAGGTAATTGCAGTTGAAATCAGTCGATTTGCCCCCTACGAGCACGTTCAAGAGGCAATGGGTTCCTTTTACCGGGTTATTTTTACAAAAATAATTAAATAAATAATTATTTTTAGCCTACCCGAAAACCTCTGATTTTACTGTTTCGAATTTGAACTTGAAGCCTTGGTAGTTTTTTAGCATTAAACTTATTCTGAAAATTGATTTTGTGAGTTAATGTTTTATCTGCCAACGTCTTTAGATAAACTGGTTTTGTGAATTTAATATTTTAAACATTTTGTCTGCCAACATTTCCAGACAAAGGCTTAACTGAAATTTACGTCTATGGAACCCCAGACAAGTGCTTCAACGTGATTTATAAGAGTGTAACCGAAGCTTTAATCCGGTGATTATGAGCCAATGTTCATGTCTCCTTCCTCGGGCTATATATAGTCACAGGTGCAGATAGAACAGGGTACCAACCTCTTGAGTTTTTGGGGCAATTCTCTCCTCCCTCTGCCTTTTGTTCATCTGTTCGTCTGTGTTTACTTTTAGTCTTTGTTGTTCTGTTCCCTTGCTCCACCGCAGGAAGTCCTTATTTAATCCTGGGGAACTACCAGTCCGTTGTCTCGATGTGCCAAAATATTTCTTAAGGACAGTGTCCTTCTGGGCATGACTCAAGTAATTTGAAGTTCACTGTTCACGTTGCTGCTGGTGTCACTAACATTTTATACTAGAGGCTACCCAACACTTCACACAAAAAAGTTTGTGGCTAAATTTGTACCCTTACGCATGCTAAGGTGGAGTACCACATGTCATTTGTAGGCCCCACATAATATCCGTCAACTAAAATTAATAGCGGGTTACTAGATGCTCTATTTTTAAAAAAAAAATTGAGGATTTATTTTGCACTATTTGATAATATATGCTACTTAGTGCTCCTGAAAAAATAGTTAGTGGTTAAATTTACACCTTTGTTATAAAATAAATCAAGATAAAAATGAAAATAAAAGAATTCCTTCCTTGTCCTTCTATTTCTTCTCTTTCCCTGAATGAAATTTACACCATTAGATTAGATTTGGTCGCCCATAAGCTCTCCAAATAATGTCACGTCTTCATTTTAGGTAATGTTTTCAGAATTGGACCGGATATTGAATTGAAAAGATTATCGGTTTATGGTTCACATAGTCTAATCGAGATGGACCAATAGTCGAGCCAGTGATGTAATAATTAAATTAAAAAAATTATATATGTATATAATAATTTAAATTTAAGAAATAAATATGAAATTGCTACTTAACTTAAAAATAAAATTAAATATTTTACATTTTTCATGACTTAATAAAACACATAATGCAATATAACATCAAATGACTAAAAAATGGATCATTTTCTTAAAAAAATTGACAAAAAAGATAAAAAAAAGAGGCATTTTTTAAACAGTCTGATTTTTGAAAACTATAACCGGTTCTCAATTCAACTGCCAGTTCAAAGCGGCCTAATCCAACCCAACTCCCTAAACAATTTTTTTAGCTTGACCGAACCGTTAGCTTGACCGATCGGCGGTTCAACTAGTTCGACCGTCCGGTTTGGTCCGGTTTTTAAATCACTGATTTTAGGTGACCTAATAGCTCAAGTTGTGCAAAAATAATTTCCTTTCTATCTACTCATAAAAATAATATATTTCACTAGAATACTGTGCAATATAGGAATTGATTTAAAATTCAAAATAATCTGAAAATATGCAATAAATTCTAATCTTTTTTAAATTAATCTTTCCCTCCAAACACAAATATTAGCCAATTAGGCTCAACTAATCACAAAACAAGTGCTAAAAGCCAAGTGTAATTAAGTAAAGTTATGAAAATTATATGACTTACCGGTGAATGCAGCCATTTTTCTTATTAAAATGTTTGCAAATTTAAAGAATAACAATATTTTTTCAAAAAAAAGCACAAAATTATTTTTCATTGATAAATATTTAAATATATGTATTTTAATATAGTTTGGTCTATTCATGCTAGATCCTTTAATCATCTTTTCCTTTTTTTTGGTTATATTATCTTCATATTCAGTTTAAAAGGGAAGCAAAACGTTGAGTAATGAGAAGAAAAAGGGAAAAAAATGAAAAAAGGGGGGAAAATTCAACTAATCTGAATTAGAAGAGTTAAAACGAGAGAGTGTTGATTTTGGTTGGGCTAAACAAGCATCCAAAGCTGTTTCCAACCTATTTACAACATTTGTCATCGTTGGCCTATCACGTCCTTCTAAACTCACACAATCTGCAGCCAAATATCCCACAAATGCCACTGCCTCTATCTCATACGGTGTTGGTGGTGGCAATCTCTGATCCAAAACCCTATGAATCTCATCCTGCAAAATGTATGGCAGCACAAAATCCACCACATTCCTTGGCGTCCCATTCTCGTTCCTATGTATAGATTTATATCCACAAAGTAGTTCAAGCAAAACAACACCAAAACTGTACACGTCGCTCTTTGTAGTGAGGTGTTGCAGCCTGTAATACTCTGGATCCATGTACCCCACGGTTCCTGCAGCTAGAAGAGAAAGATGCGACTCTTCATCTTCAGGACCCATTAAGGAGAGTCCGAAATCTGATACTTTGGCTGTCCATTTGGCGTCTAATAGTATGTTGGCCGATTTAATATCGCGATGAATGATTGGCGGGATCGTATACACGTGCAGGTACTCTATGCCTCTGGCTGCATCTAGAGCTACTTGAATGCGTCCTGACCATGACATGAGAGGAGAATTTGAGGTTGAAGTGTGGAACTTGTGAAGGTGATCAGTTAGGCTGCCATTGTTCATGAACTCGTAGACTAGAATTCTCTCATTCTTGTCCTCAAAGAAACCTAGTAATCTCACCAGGTTCTTATGGTTGAGTCTGGATAATGATTCGAGTTCATTCACAAACGCATTGTCTTTGTCTTCTTGACGCTTAGTGCCTCCTGGGATTTTGTAAGATGGGGAGGTGGGTGAGATCTCAGCTCTTTTAATGGCGACTTCTCTTCCATCTTCGAGTGTTGTATGGTACACTGATCCAAAACTGCCTGATCCTATTTTTTGATTTTCTGAGAAATTGTTGGTTGCTTCCAATAGTATTTGCAGAGAAAATTCCTCCAAATGGCCTCCATTTCCGAGGCTAATCATATGGCTTAGTTTCTTCTCTAAAGTTGGTTGTTGGCTTGCCGGTTGATCTTCTGGATCATCCAACCGGCCGGAGTCGTGGACACGCCGGCATCCTCGGCCTTTGCAATACTTGTAGACAAGGAATGCCATGACTAGTATCAAAGAAAGTGAACCAATACAGCCAACCACTAGAAATGCCACCATTTTGCTGCTCCAATCACTTTGCCCTGATTGTGAAGCAACACTTACTGGCCCAAGCGCCGGCGGTGGCGAGGGCGACTGTGGGGATTCAGGTTGTTGGCTCTCACAAGAACTGCAAATAGATTCTTGACCCCGAACACAGAATTGGGTAGAACCTGGCAATGGTCCACAAGGACATTCAGTCCTACAAGGACCAGGTAGGACCTTATCATACACCTTATAAGCTGTCCCGTTCATCCCCAAATTATCGTTTCCCCAACAATATAAAGAATAATCACCAGATACGACACCACAGAAAACACTTTCTTTAGCTGTAATTGCTTGAAAAGATTCGTTTCTCAAGCTCTCCGGAATTCTGAAACTATCTGCACCCCAGCAAACAATTGTTCGGTTCACAGCCCTCAAAGCACAAGTTCTATTATCTCCCAAGGCCAGCGAGATGAATCTCCCTTGAGGCGTCGTCATTGTGCCTGCTGGTACGTCACCCCAACAATCCAAGCTTCCATTAATGGAGGAGATAGCACAAGCATGTCTCGACCCTGCAGCAATCACAGAAAAATTTCCTTCGGGTTCATGCCCAACTATGCCATTATTATTATTTCCTACGCAATTAATATTCCCAGATGTTTCCAATAACCCACAAACGAAATTCTCTCCCACAGATATGCTCGAGAAGCTTTTCACAATACTCGTGTTGAACCGAGGCCATCGCCAGCAGTTAAGGCCATTGTTGGAGCTTGATAGGCCACAAATTTGGGAGTTTCCTGCTTCCAGATCTTGAATCACAGGCCCACGGTATACGCGCTTGGGAACAACATTTGTATCATTGTAAGAGAATCTCCAACAAAACATGACAGAAGAAGAGGCAGAAAGAGAACGCATTGGTGGCCTCAATGAACAGAGAAACCCATTTCCTCCTGCAATCTCAGAGAAGGAAATGTTGGGGTTCACTTGAATATGAATGCCAGTGGGAAAGCTGGTACAGTTGAGGAATGCTATTTGTCCTTGAAGCTTGTCCGTATTCTGCAACGCACAGATCACTGTGTGGTTGGAAGTTTCAGAAATGGAAACCGTACTTGAAAGTGAATTAATGGCGAGAAAGGAACAAGAAAGAAAGTAGAAGAAGATTAGCAACAGCTTGTGGGGGTTAAGGAGAAAAGCCATAGAAATGATCACTTGATGATAACACTTTCATGATGATGACGATGAAGCTGGGTTTTAGGTTTGAAGAGAGAAGGAGAAATTTATGAAAAAGCCAGAGAAAGAAAACGCGGTTTGGTGGCGGAATGGAACAGTAGTGACGACCAGAGACCTAGTCCGTTAGATTTAGATCTTAGAAGTGTTCCAAAGATTTCGAAAGAAAAAGTTGGTGAGGGAGCGCGTTGAGTTGAGTCAGACGACAGTCCTGGTCCACATACTCGCTAAATAATGTTCAAATTATGCCTTGGACTTTGCTTTTTTAATAGGAACAAGTACAACAACAAAGACAAACAAAGGTCTTTGCACGCTCTTTAAAAACAAGGTTTTACAGAAAAAAAATACGGGGGGCAAAACATATATAAACAAAAATACATTAGAGTATTAGTTGCAAGGGGCATAAATAATAAGGGCCTTGCATTAACAACTTAATTTAATAATCATGTGTTGCACATGCGTGCGCCTCTAAACATACACACACACACACACACCTCGTACCTACATATTTATTTCTATTTCTATTATAAAATATCTCCAATTACCTCATCGAAAATAATAAAAAATAATTAATTATTAAATTTATTTAAAAACAAAATAAATTTTTAAGGAGCAAAATTACATTTAAGTCATACATAAAGAAATTTATTATTGAGACATTTAATAAATTTTATAAAATACTCTCAAGTCTTAAATTTTACACATTGATAACTTAACTAAGGACATTAACAATTGGACAATAGCCATTTACAACTTGTTATTAATCAATGCTCTTAGTCAAGTTATAAATGTGTAACACACCAAAATTTTTTTTTTTAAATAATTTAACTCAACCATAGTTGGGTTACAGCCACCCAACACATTTTTATATCAATAATTTCAATATAAAATATTTTATAATTGGCTTCAACTCACACACTATAACATTTCAGACAAATTTTTACCTCCCACATGCCATTAGGCTAAATCACATTTGTCCATCCTTATACTCGCAACAAGTAAAATAAGCAATTTAATAAATTTTTAACACAAGCCAGTTATTTGATCTTATAATCATGCCATTTTAACCAATCCAAAGTAAACCAAATATTAAAATTACAGTCATCCAAATTGTACCAAAAATAGAAATAGTTTGAAAAGCATGATTACATTTATATATTCATATAATTGACAATAAATAAAAAGCCCTAATATTGGCAATATAACACATTATAAATCATAAATTAAATACCCAAAAAAGACAGTGGATCTATACCACTAAGCCTCTGGGACTCCTCCATGTGTCACTCGTGGCTCTTCTCCTGAAAATTGTTAACCACATAATGAGACTCAAAAGTCCCAGTAACCAAAGTCAATTTATGAGTGTATACAAACAGTTAAGTGTGTGCTTACTAAGTAAGAATTAAAAATAATATAATTCCAACAAATATAAGAAATATTATAATAAACACAAACAACCATCCTTATATCCCTCCATTAACCTCGAGCCATAGCCCTCACTTGGTGCTAAATTACCCGACCAAAGGTAGATTAGCCCGAGCCCTTACAAGCCACCTATTGAGCTCTAATAGGGGCGTACCACGTGGCACATAAATACAACAATAATAGTAAGTCTCCCAACACCTCCCATAATAATTAAACAAATTCATAATAATATTGCACAATTATACAATATTACAAAATTCATAATTTTCTCAATAATCACCCAATTAACATGAAGTAACACTAATCACAAATTAAAAGCATGGTTATCTTGTGGCTTTTTCAATAAATTATTCCTTACAATTTCTCTCCCACCACAATCTTCACCAGTAATACAATCTACAAATAACATATTATTTATAAATATTAGTTTCAATTTTTGAAACTAATAAAATAATTCTAATAATAGAATTAAAAATATAACATAATTCCTAATCTCAATCTTAATACAAATCTATAGTTAATACTATTAAGTAAAATTTTTAACTCCTCTTTTAATTATCAATAAACATTAATAATCTAAAAATCAACTTCTAAACTAATTTTTATTATCAAAATTTTCTTTTTATTTCATAAATTCGTACCTAAAATACTCAAAAATTAAAAATTAAGTCTCTAGCTTAGAATCATAATCCTATAGCCATAATAATTCATTTCTCATCCCAAATAATCATCTAAACCTCAATAAATCAACATATATTTTTAGATCTAGTCTAGAATTTGATCCATAAGCCACAAATTCAAAGATCACCAATAAATTTATACTCTAGAACATTTATTATACTACTAACAACCTCAAAAATCATATTTATTCAACATAAATTCATCCATCTTCCAGATTTTAAATTTTTTACCACTACAAACTCAGAAACCAAAGAAGAAGGATGACTAAGAAAAATTTTTAGAACACTTACTTAGTCTTGAAAAGCTTAAAATTACACCCTAAGTATCCTATTAAAAACTCTTACCTTAAAAATTTAGATATTTCGCACCGGCGACTTGCTTCTCTCCACCTCAGCTCGCGCGCAGGAAAAGAATTGAAGAAATGAAAGGAAACGGGTGAGTTTTTATAAAAATTCAGTGGGTCCCACATTTTTTTTTAAAATTATTTCCTCTCTCTTCTTCTTCTTCTTCTTTTTTATTATTATTTTATTTTACTATTGAGGCGGCGGCCGAAAGCAAACTTCTCTTTTTCTTCTTCTCTCTTTTTTTTTTGCATACTTTTTTTTATAATAATAATTTAATAATATTTTTTTAATTAATTAATTAATAATAATTTTTTTATTAATTTTTTTTAAAAATTTTAATTTAGAATTATATCCTAAGTTAGATTTAATGATCATTTTCTACTAATTTATTTACCTCTAAATATTTTTTTAAAATTTCTATTAACCCAAATTAACTATTAAAATTTAAATTGGGATGTTACAAAATGCACAAGATTTGGGGCTTCAAAATATTTTTTGTGAAATTTGTGAGATCTTTTTGTAATAAATTTTCTTTTGTGTGACTTGAATATAATTTTCCCACTTTTAATTATATATATATATATATATATATGAATATATGAATATATATTAGATCTATATTAGATATAGAAGACTAAATATCTATTTTTTTATACCAAAAAACTATCCGTTAACATTGTTCTTTTACTTAGTGAAATAGTTTGCAGACCGAAAGAAAGTTTATGTAAAATTTAACTAATTTATTCACAATATTTTTTTTAAAACTTAATCACAATAAATATAGTTGTTAAACTCTCGAGTTGACTTTACAAGTTTAACGTTTCTATGTTTTCAACTTACAAAATTGTGTCAACTCATTCATAAACTTAGATTAAATACAAACTCGATTAAACTCACAAGTTTACTTTTAAGTTTACTGTTTTTATGTTTTTAATTTACAAAATTGTGTCAACTAATTTATAAACTCGGACTAGATACAAGTTTGGTTAAACTTGTGAGGCTCGGTTAAATTTATTAAGCTCATCATTTTTTTTTGAGTTGAATGAATTAAGTATATACTATGAAGAATTCAGTTCATAAAAGTTGTAAAACTTGATTCAAAGGAAAAAAAAATCTCGAAATATAAAAACTAATATTAATAAAAAGAAAAAAAATACCAAAAATAAATTACCTTATTTTAAAATTTTTTATGTTTTGTATGTGATAATTTATCAATGTAGATGTGTTTAATATCAATAATTTATATTTTAAATATATTTAAATTAAATTACAATCATATTTTAATGGTTATTTGTTAATAGCGGTAAGCTTATACGAGTTTATGATCTGAGTTTACAATATGAGTTTACATTCTTGTTACGAGTTTATTTAAACTCACGAGTTTAACAACCTTGACAATAAGTACATAAAAAATAATATTTCACATTTCTTTTAACTTTTAGGTTTTTAACTTTTAAAAAACTTATATTGCATCCAATATGATATATTGGAACATTTGTTTTCGAACCACCACAAAAAAAAAATGAAATTTAATGGCTAAAGTATACTTTTAATTCTTAAATTTTATATAAAATTTCATTTTTTATCCTTTAATTTTATAAAAAAATATTTTTAGTTTTTTAATTTTAACATCATTAGTTTCATCATAAATAAAATTTTACCTTGAAATTTTAAATAATAATAAAAAATTACCAAATTTTGACATATTAAGTTTTTGTAAAAAAAATTATTGATATAAAATATAATTATTTGAAACTAACCGTTTTAAGATTAAAGAATCAAAAAAATATTTTATAAAATTAAGAAACCAAATTTTAATCTCATATAAAGTTAGAGGATAAAAATTTACTTTAAAAAATATCATTATTTATTTGTTTTATAGGAATAATACGGTGATGAGGTTGTCATAAATAAATTAATTTACATACACATCAGTATTTTGAGTTCAATAAGTTGACAATATTTAAAAGAGAAGAAATGTTATGAAGTAATATAATAAATAGAATAAAAATAATAAAATTAAAATATCGAATTAAAATTGAATATAAAAACTAAATGACTAAACAATAAATTTTTCCCGATACATGCTATGAAATATTTGTTACCATTTTAAAATTGACTTGGGATGATATATGCTGCGCTGATGAGTAGAGCTGAGAAATGCAGCATAGAAACGAGTCATGCACGCGTAATCAAGACTGAGTCATGCTGTTTGAAAGAATATTCAAATTTTACGCAATTTGCTATAGTCCAACTAAGCAAATGCGCGGAGTTTGTTTGGCGCTTGGGGTCCTTCATAATATTGATGTTGACATATCAAGTACTCCATCAAGCACACCACAGATTAATTGGTGGATGTTACCATACAAGTGGCCAAAGTCACACCAGAATTACCGCTAGGCGAATCACGGCCTCCTTACTTACCCTGAAGTGTTCAATTGATTATTTAAAAAATGATAATACAATTTCACTGATAATTATATTCATCAAAATGCTATAATTTCTCTCAAATTCTTGAGTGCTTTTATGATATTAATTATTTTAAGTTAAATAATTAAATTGTCTTTTATTCAATGATAAAAGAAATTTCATGTAAAAATTTGTGATTTTTTTGTTTAACATTTATGATTCACAAAATAAAAATTGTTATTATTAAACAAAAGTTG